ATGTAAATATATTAGCACTCGAAAATGCCGATAGTAAATATTCTTTATAATATATATTATTTTTTACTATGACAGCCTAATTTTCTAGGTCTATCGCCAAAGCCCTTCTGCCTTTTTTTATTCTCTACAATTTTTCTAAGCTCTCGAACGAGTATGAAGCAGTCAGTAATTTGTCCAACTTGTTTTTGTTGCTGGTGCTGGCTTTGTTGTATAAGTGCAACATGAATTGTGCATACCAAGGAACCGTCCACAGCTGCCCCAAAATCTACCGTTTGTTGCTCATCTGCATCTCTTCATCTCTCACACAGACTCCATCTCTCTCTCTCTCTCTCACGCTCCTTCTCCATCTCCCTCTCTCCAGCTGCCATTGTTGTTTTGGTAGCTGTCGTTAGAGCTGGCCACAGAACTAATACACTGACAATGTTCTTCCACCTGTGTGTGGCCTGACATGTGTATCAGTTGACTATGTATCCAAATGTTTGTTAGTCTTGTTTGGCCCGTACTAAGATATATGGCAGCTGCCAAAAGATGCAAAACATGACTTTTCTATATGCGAGCAGGCAGAAACATGTCCCGCTGTGTGCCTGCCCCATATTTGAACATATCGAGTGGAAGCGAGAGAGAGAGAGAGAGAGAGAGGCAGAGAGCGTGATATGTATATATATATAGTGTATATATATATCCATTTGACAGTTTTTGGCATTGTTGTTATTACGTATTTAGTGGAATGGCACGTCTTATGATACTGAACAGACTTTGCCCGGATATTTGCTGCTCTTCGTGAAAATTCAACCGTAGTCCGGAAAAACAAAGGGAAATGTAAGAATATGCCATCAGACAGGTGTGATAATTGTACGAAATGAATTCGAAGAGCTAAACTAAAATATAATTAGTAAAATAAGATGAACATTTTTACAGGAACTCCCAAATGAATAACTAAAACCGGAAATAAATGTTAAAACTAATGAATTGGCAGACGGACGGACGAATAGAGCTAGGTACGGATAGAACAAATGGAGAGAGGAACAAATAATCAAAGGGAGTGATAGAGGAGCGGCCAGATAGATGTAGAAACGAACATACAGATGGAAAGACGATACAGATAGGGAGACGGACGGATAGAGAAACGGACGGGATGTAGGGGAGGACGGGAGGAGACGGGCAGATAGGACGAACAGTCGCACGGACACATGGACCAACGAACGGACAGATAAAGGTACGGAAGGCGTAACGAACAAATGGAATTATGGGCGGATAGAGGAACTGACAGATCTATAAAAGAAGGAACGAACAGGCAGATAGAGGAAGATAGAGCCGGCGGAAGAATGGACAGGCAGATGGAGACACGGACGGATAACCAAGGGACGGAAGAACTGCTGTTGATCCTGACCAACACTATATGAATAACTAAATATCCTACGTCTGCTTTTAAGAAATACAAAGTACCGGAAACTCCGTTCGACAAGGCAATTAAGAATCTCTGTTGAATGTATTTATAAAACACTTTGTCCATTTACAACAAATGCGCCTTTCCTTGCTGTTCCTGCCTTTACTGTTGATCCTAACATTTTTATCTCCTCCTTGTCCTCTGCTAGTCTTCGCTCCGCTACGATAAGGCGTTCTGTCAGCCGCGACAAGTCCTCACGGAGCTTTGCGACTGCTGCGTGCTTCTTCTCCAGAAATACTAGAGTGTCGTCGTAGTCTGACATTAGCTGTGGGTAGAATAGCAGTGGCCCAGAAGTTTTCAGCTTATGCAGATCCCGCTGAATCCTATTGTGGGTCAGCTTGCCCAGGTAGATGAGCTTCTGACAAAGGGCTTTTCTCTCTTCACTTTTTTCCATCTGGTCTTTCAGGCGCAAGTAGTTCCTGCCCTCCATGAACGCCTTGCACTTGTGATGGGCCAGCGCATGCATATTGAACTTGATTTTCTGATGGAGGCGTTGCAGCTCCTTATTGCGGTCTACGAGGCGCACGACCAATTGAGATTGTTTAGAAGTAATCAAAATAATAATCATTTACCTCGGATTTTAGCGCTCAGCGCATAGGTCTCTGCCTGCTGGCTTAGATAATCCTGCATTTTGAGTCCACCTCCAAGATTCTCGAGCTTATCGGATTTCTAGGTAATGAGTAGAGTTATAAGAGAGCTCAGCCTATGGCCCAGAGTAGAGTCTTACATATTTGATATCAGCGTAACGATGCTGAGTGTTGAACAGCTCCAATCGCATTTCGGACAATTCGTCTCTCAAGACGCCCATCCGACGCAAAGTATCGTCCACATAGATGGCCAAGTGGGTAAAACTATCTTTGGTTAGAAGAGTGCTTCGAATGACGTGCTCCAGGTGCACTATCTTGAGGGCGGAGTCCATGCGGGTCGCCTCAAGCTCCTCGTTCAACTTGATCAACTGACTGTCGACCTGGTCCAGCGTCTTGCTCTGGATCTCAAGCAGTCGATCAAGCTGGAGGAGGGACTTTCGCCAGCGCTTGTAATTGAACTTATCGAATTTACCCTCAACTGTAATATAAGTCATCTCCTTCCTGCGCAGGAAGTGATCCTTCAAGCTGCCGGCCAACAGACGCCTCTTGCTGGCCACACTTCGCAATTGGGTTATGGAGGAGATGAGCTGCTTCATCAGTTTCTCCTTGTCCAGGGAGTGATTGAGTTGATTAACTTTGTCCTCGACCGTAGCGACAGCACGACTGATGAGCTCTTGCAGGAATGGTTCCAAGATCTCATTTTGCTGTGCGCTCGGATCGGTCTCCAATATTTGGTGTGAGCTATCGTCTTGACTCAAGTCTGTTAATCTCTTCGTTACATCAAGGATCATAACCGATCTTGTTTTCGCATCAATCACATGGACTTCATCGCTCAAACTGCTCAGTGATGGAAATGCGGTGTTCAGTCCCGTTGTCTTCGAGCTCGCGGTCGCGCGACCCACACTTTCAGCAAAGAGGCTCTGCGTATCGTACTCATCGAAAATGGACGTGTCATACTCTCTCGACGATTTAGTTTTGTCAGTGGGCTTATCCACCTTCCTCTGCACAGCTATCGAATGGAAGCTGCTGACATCGGTCAGATCATTGATGTCGGGTAGAGGCCTCAGGTTAGCCATCAGCTCGTTTCGCACGTAGATTTCGTCATCCCGATGAATCGACAGTGTAGATAAATTCGAATTCGAGGAGGAGCCCTCATCCGTATGGATAACATACTTCTTCTTCTTGCGGGGCTCCGGGTGTTTAATCACCTTAAACATATATAACGATGAGCTGGGTTGGGAAGGAATGGATCGTCCGCTGCTATTCCTCGATAAGCTGTGCAAATCATCATTGTTCATCGTTGTGGATCTCTCTCCAAATTGTGACTGCTTTTTCTTTGGCTTTGGAGCCTTCATTTTTAGCAACGATTTTGTCTTAATGCTCTTCTTGGTAGCTTTTTTCGTCACAGTTGGCTTCACTGTTTTTCTTTTCTGGTAGACCGATTTAGGGATTGATTTCTTCGTTTTCTTGAGGATCTCGGTATCGACGGAGGACACGCTGCCGCTGTTGTCGACGGAGCCATCCATAGAGTCCAAGTCCGTTGAAGCATCGTCTGAGAGCCGGCCAGCGTTGAATGAATCCAAATTATCCAGATAATCCTTGTTGGATGTATCCAAATCTTCGTCCGGCTGATCGACAAAGTGTAACAATAAATTCAGTTTGGGCTGAACAATCGACGGCTGTGTTGACTTTTCGCTGGCTTCGTCAGCCGTCAGTGAAATCGCTGACAATTCCTTCGAACTCAACTGCCCAGACATGCTTCTAAGAACAACAGATACAACGAAAAGAATAAAATGGGCAAACAATAAAATCTTAAAAATAAACAAAGCAAATGAACTTTTCGACAAGGCATCAAAAAGTGTAATAAGCAAACATTCCAAATCGAACAAAGGTGGCTGAGTTTTGTTCTCTTTTTTTTTTGGTAGGCAGCCCTTTGGAGAGTGTGTGTGTGCGCCAGCGTATTCGATTATCGAAATGCCGTTAACAGCAAGTTTTCACTTGGGCCCAACGGAGCACCGATGCGCAGCTAGTCTAGCCAGTAACAACTTCTTCAGGCACTAAGCACACACACAGACACATGCACACACACACACACTCACTCACATTCACTGACAATTACCGCAACTAAAAAATCGCCCCGGTCTAACAGAACCACAGGCATTCAAGGCTAAGCTCCGTTTTTATACACCCTGCAGACATACCAAGCGGATGAACGTGATCTTGTTTGCAGCCGAATGAGGTGGAATAGATATATACAATTTGGCGATTATCGTACTTTTATTCTTTCGTTTCTCTTCTTACACAACTGCACAGCTCTTCTCTTTTATCTCTGCAGCTGTGCATTAAAAAAAGCTTATGAAGACAACGTAAGCTCATCAATTATTTAATAGGTAAATGTAACAAATCTAAATCTATATATTATAATTAATATTTTCTATATAAACTAGATATTGCCTTTTTTCATAATTATTTAATTGTATATACTTGTATACATATAAGTATACAATATATTGAGATATTCAATAAATAATTTTTTTTTTGTTATTTAATATATGTTTTTTTTTAATGTATAATAATTTATAATTTATTTCTCATATTTATATTAAAAAATTATATCAACCAAAAATTATTCTATTAAAAATATATATTTTTTAATTAATAAATTAACATCTTTACTTCTTAAAATTTGTTTCAAATTTTTTTTAGCATTGGTATATACAAATTAGTTATAAATTTTTAATAAATAATTCTTAAGTAATAAAATAATAAAATCTTAATTTTTATATTTCTTAAGCTGTAAATAATTATATTTAATAATTTCTCTTAAAAAAAAAATAAATAAAAATAATAATAATAATAAAATCTTAAATAAAAATATATTTATAAATGTTGTATTATTTATCATAATGATAAAAGAAATGTCGTCTCTATCGTCACTTAATTTATACCAATTATTCTCTCAAGCCACACCAATTAATTCCCTTATTTTGTAGAATTTTTTTTTATGCATCTCACACTAAGTTTGCTTCCATTAATTTGCTCCCTCCATTAATTTCCTCTAACTGAAATAAAAATAAAATAAATAAATAAAAACTATCGCCATCTCTCATTCCATTCCAGGATATTTCCTAGTCGCACACTCTTGCTCTCCTGTTTTGTTGCTTCATTTCTGTGCTTTTTTTTTTTTGGTGGCTGGCCCGTTTGGCCTCCGCCTGCCGCCCCATGCCCCTGCTGGCACGTTTCTGGCTGGCCTGTTGTTGGTTAATATCATCACTCATGTATGCCGCATACTAAAGAGAATTTATCATGTCTGCTGCGGCAGCTCTAAAAAAATAGAGGGAATAAGAACGAAGGCAGCAGCAGCAGCAACAACAACAGCTCTCGAACGGGTCTTTGGCTGCTGCTGCTGCTGCTGCTGCCATTGTCGCTCAAGTGTTTCGGCAACCCAACTTACCTATACACAGAAATCTATCCATCTATCCATATATATTTATATATGCGTTCGTGTGTGTGTGTGCGCCTGTGGCTTTGGCTCTGAAGTTTCACCTGCTGCTGTTGCTGCATATTCGCAAAATTCGTTTACGTTCACGTTGCCCCCATTTGCTAAGTAGATTTCGGGCTACCTGCATGCAGGCAGCTCGTTACAGCTGCAGCGCTAAGGGAATATATCTATATTCCCCACTCGCTCTCTCTCTCTCTCACTCACTCTTTTCTCTCTTTCTCGCATCTCTCTTTTTTACAGCTTTTCAGATATATAGTATATGTGGGTTTTTTTTTGTCGTTCTGCCTTCGGGTTGGGCTGAGCGAATTCTGTCAAATTGCCTAAAACTTTCTTTATATTTGATGTAATGAATTCCCGACGTGCTGCTGCTGTTGCCCCAACTCTCTCACCAATGCAGAGAGTGCACAGTGGGTATCTATAGATACAGCACACCTGCATTGCCATCGACAAAGAACGCAAAGCAAGCAACAGCCACACATTGCGTATGCGTAATGTGTAACAGATATGCACGCTAAATTTGTTCTCCCACTCTGCCTAGCTAGCCACATGTGTGTGCGTATTTGCGTGTGTGTGTGAGCGAGTGTGTGTGAGTTCCGTTTCCGCAATTAAAATGTTGATTACATGAAGTACGACTGCCGCTTGTTTGTTTGCCGCTGCTGTGGGCGCTACAAAGGAAAACGGAAATTATGTGTATGCGGGCGTTAGCGCTTAGCTAAGCCTCAACAACAACAATAAGAACAACTGCAGCACCAGCAACACCAGCAAGAGCAACAACAACTGGCGCATAAAATGTAACCGCTCGCTCGTCTGATAAGATTTACGAGCTCCGCTTTTATGTCTTCCCAACTCTGAGCTATAATTAACCAAGTAAATGAGATAAAGAATTTGCCAAAAAAAAAAACCAAATAAATAAAACAAAATAACAAAGGCAGCGGCAACACACTCGATAAATTTAGCATAAAAAAGCAGTCAGCGCTGAATCCCGATGAGCAGCAAAAAGATTTAAAACCATATGAAAACAGTAGCAAATATGAATTATTTTTAAAGAATAAATGCTAGAAAAATAAATTTGGAAAAGCTCAAAAATAATTTGAAGTATTTCAGTAAAACACATTTGTCATTTCGTTCTCATGCCCTGAATACATGAAAATAAATAAATTCTTGTGATGAAGTCAACGTATGTAACATTGATGCGTGGGTGGCCCCTTTCTATTATTAGATCATGTATTCATTAAGGAATTTGCTTGGGCTCAATACTAGACAGTCTCTGCTTACTTTTCGAGAACTCTAGTATGTGGGTATACATGAGCCCGGTCTGCTAAGACAAGCTCGTTGAATAACCGAAGTAATTGTTTGTTCTGTAAGTGTTGGCAAGAAGAGAGAAGAGCACAAAAAGCTAGATCTCGCTACAAAAAAAACCACTGAAAACGATAAATCGTGATTTTAATACATTATTGCAAGTATTAGTCATATATAAAAAATAAACAAAAGCCAAGAAAAGGTTAAAAAAAAATAAATAATATAAAAAAAAAAACTTTTGCAATATTCCAAAATCATTGAAAAAGGCATAACTGGCTGAAAAAAGCTAAACTGGCATCAATGTTTGCGGGCTATGCTTTCAGCATAAGCTTCGTCCAATTAAATCGCCACAACTCTTGCTGAAGTGCCCAAGCTGCCGTCTCACTCGCACCCACATAGTCGTCACTACGTTCAGCAACTACTAGCTTTGTCTCTCTCTCGCACTCAGAGTGAGTATATGCTAGAACGCAAACTCACGCGGATCATAGTTTTACAACAAATCTTTACAAGCTCTCAGCCACTCACTAATACTACCGCAACAGCAGCAGCCAATCACGTTGCGATTGAAGAGCATAGTGAAGAAAGAGCAAGCTGTGCGCGACTAAGCTAAGCTAAATGCTGATTTATCGTAGCTGATCGCAAAATGTAAGTAAAAATTATTTAATTTTAATTTAAAAACAAAGAAAATTTGAGAAGTAAATAAAAAAAAAATAATTCCATCTTGAATTTAATCGCAAAAAAGAATTAGCATGGATATATAGAAAATTCTATACAGTTGTTGTCGTTGCCTGTGAACCGTTGTTATCCAGCTCATCTCATCATGTTATCTCATTATTTTTTCAATAACCTGTGCAGACAATTTACAAGGCCGGAGCAAAGGTCAGGGGCCTCGCAACAGTTCCATGCGGCAAGCAAGCAAAGAAATCCGCCTTTAAATGTGGCAGTGGCGTGCGGCGGGTGTCCTCTGTTGTTAGACAACTTACATTGCTCGGTAATTAAATCAATCATACGCCCCGCATTGGCAGTAAAGCGCGCAACACGCAGCAACTGTGGCAGCAGAGGCAACGGCAAGAAATCCGAAGAAGCCGCGAAAAGTGGGCTACAGCAACAGCGACAACAACAACAACAGCAAGTTGCCTTAAGATGGTGGCAACACCCACGCAGACACCTGCAAATACTCACGCGTCGGCGCTTAGCATAAATGAATATTTATAATTCGGTGTCTTGGCGCCGCGCCTTCGCTCCCGACTGAGCCGCAAAGTGCTTTCGAGAGTGCAAAAATATTTTTTTATGAATATTTATTTGCTTTTGAAATCGAAGTTATGCATTTGTTGCTGCCCTCTTCAACTGCCAGCTACCTGTCGGCCGCCCAGCTCACCCCCCACTTTCCCACCCTGCCCCTTCAGCAGAGGTCGTCAAAGTTTTTGGCCCTTAGCCCGAGAGCCGCGTGCTCTGTGAAGGTGCGTAAGACAATTTAATTTATTTGACGCATTAAAGCAAAAATATTAACGCTATAAATCAATAAAAAATCATGCAAGACGCGTCCGGAGGCAGCCAAGAGGTGCAGAAGTTTCTTTTCATTGCGAAATATTTTATTTTTATTTAAGTATGCTGCAAACTTTGTTCTGCTTTGGCTGCTTTCTCTTGCTTATTTTTTTTTTTTTTCTTGTTTGCAGCAGCAACAGCTTCTATTAATTTATGTGCCATTTGGAGAGCCTTTCCTCAAAGCCCGGCCCAGCCCAGCCCAGGCCCCGCCCCCCTCACTACGAACAGGCCGTGCAGCATTTTTATGACAGCTGCAAAATTATGGCAGTCAAAGTTGCTTTATGTGTCTTATGGCACTTATGGGCATTGCACTTAATATTCGCCAACAACACACATTCGCATTCGCATTCCCCTTCTCATTCCCATTCTCATTCGCATTGCAAATTCAATTTTAGTACATTAATCGCTAAT